AGTGGAAGCAGGTGTCTGAGGGCTTGAAGCCAGCTTCACTTTGGGGGCACACCTGGAAGGAACGCAAAGACTGGCCAGGCACTTGTCCCTAAGCAAGGCTGCTGAAGTCACTTAGCCATCCTGACCTATTATTGGGAATCCCTCCGATTATCCGGGCTTTCCCTCCTGGGCTCCTAGAATGGGCGCGGGGTGGTGGTGGTGGTGGTGGTGGTGATTTCCTTACTGCCAAGACTGAGGGCTATCTGGGTCAGCCTAAGAGGAAAATCAATCACTTCTTATTTAGCAGACCCCCAAAGCTATTCTCCCATGCCCCCAAAGCCTGCTCTGTTCCTCCAGAACCTTCTCAGGCTTAGCAGAAGCCACATCCAGCCGTGGATGAAGAGACCTATAATGGGGAGGCCCAGTGTTCAGGCCCAGGAAGCTACCTCCTCAGCCCTGGGGTGCAGGGTGTCCTCCCACCTTCCTCCAGCCCCTTTAGCACAAATATCACTCTATCACTAGTGAAAGGGCCAGGAGAAGCCTGGCAATAGATGCTTCTGCCCTTTATGAAAATCACTTTAATTTAACCCAGATGGGTCTCCTCACTGATAACCTCATGCAACGAGCCCTCTGAATTATGCTTTCCGTGTGAACACACTGGGTTATATTTAGCCACAAATTACGCCTGTGTTTAACAAGCACCTTTCCTTTGCAGGGAGGGGGCTGGGCAGCCTCCTGACCTGGTTGGAGGAAATCAGCAACAACAGAATTTAAACCTCCCTGGGAGGAAGCTGCAGAGGCTGGAGAAGCTGTTTACCTGACTTCAAAGTGGTCTGGGGCTTTTCTCCTTGCCTTTTAAAACTTAGAAGCAGGTCTTAAGATCTGTCTATGGCCTTGAAGGGAAAACCTGCGCCTCCCACAGGGGTCCCTCCGGCTTGAGCCAGCTTCAATTTAGCGAAGTTCCTGGCTTGGTTTGGAGCTGTGTCAGGGAAATGCCTCCGGGACACAGGCAGGCCTCCAGAGGTGTGCGGAGAACAGGGGACACTCAGCACGATAGATCCTATGACAGGATAGGATCGTGCAATTCTTCCTTTTCTGCTTCTGTGTTTTGCCCCTTCTCCAGTTGGGAGGGGGCAGGAGCTGGGGGCGGGGATACCCCCAGAGAGCAAGGCAGCACCTCATGCTCCCTCACCTCTTGTGCCCAGCTGAATAAATGGGCTGTTTGAAGTGCTGTTCTTTGGGGGAGAGAAGCCCATTTATCTTGGGATTAGGGCATCCCAGCTCTCTTCTCCCCTTCCAGTCAAGTCTGTGCATAAACCTTATGCCTCAAAGACAGAAGACCTAGCAAAGAATGCCCATGCTCCCAGGCACAGAGCACCAAGCAGTTACCTTCGGGTGACCCAGGTAACTGAGGACAGTATTCCTTCTAGGACCTCGGGGGTACTTCTAGCAAGACCTTGCCATGGTAGAGGATTTTCACTGATCCAGGACCTCCTCTTCCAACCAGGCCAGTACCTCCGGAGGCTTTTGAATTTGACCCCTTTTGAGAAGAAGGGTGCAATATCCCAATGTCCCCAGCTGTCCTTTCAAGCCCTGATTCTAGATCGAGGATGGAGTTTGACTGTCACCTCACTGAGGGAGACAGGTGCTGTGAACCACCCCCACCCCCGTCCATCCTTCCCCAGCCTGATCCAACCTGCATGCTATCCAGCCTGCATGCTATTGTACTGCCCAGGTACGAAACCCAGCTCATCTCCCTCTCCCTCTGGGCCCCTGGCCCTCCAGACCGAGCTCCAGCCTGAGGCCTCTGGACCTGTCCCTTGCACTTCTATGGGAAGAATTAAGAGTCAATTTTTTTGTCGTCAAGAAATTGTTTCTAATTTGCCCTTTGACTAATGGCCCAGGGAACAATGGAGAGGCACCCAACACACAATTACCCGGCAGTGCAGCACTGCTGCTCCCTGGCCCAAGCACGCATTTATTTGGAGCAGCGACTAATTCACAATTTTATGTAACCCGAGATACACCCCCACCCCCTTGTATTAAAAAGTGATTATTTATTCAATGAGTTCACACAGTGGGCTCTGGGTCATTTGGGAGCTGGGAGGCCTAGGCCTGCTTCGTCTCCAGCCCTGTAGGGGCAGTGGGGAACGCTGGAGGCGGTACCAGGGTTTGTGGGTAACGGGCTGCTCCACTACAGTCCAGCTCGCTGTGGTCGAGGGCTTGCACATGTGTGGCGTGTGTCAGGGTGCTGTGTGTGAGACTCAAACTGTCCTTTTGAATTACATGGATTTGTTTTTGTGTGTGCCTGCACGCTGCCGACCTGCCTGTACCCATGTCACGAGTGTGAGGTCAGCAAAAAACCCGCAAGAGTCAGTTCTCTCCTTCTACCATGGAAGTACCAGGAGATCGAAGATCTAACTCAGGTGGTCAGGTTTGGCAAGCGTCGGCCTGCTGAACCACCTTGCCAGTTTGCTTTTTTTGTATGCATACAAACGTGGTTAGTGTGATGTGAGACTCACGTGTGCCAGCACCCATTTTGTGGTATTTCTAGATATGGATGATGTGAGCCCACAGAATGTGCATGTAGACTGAGCACACACCCAAAACTGCACAAGCGTCCATGGGTACACATGCTATTGCTTGATCTGTGTGGTTGTGCTCTGGTGCCAGGGCACAGCTGGCTATGTAGGGCACCCCAGCCTAGAGGAGACCATGGAGGGTATCTGTCAGGCTGTGGAGGTGGCCCAGGCATTCAGAGGCTATTGGGCCCTGGGCTAGCGATTGGGCATCCGTGGCTGCAGCGTTAATAACCTACAATGTTTTAAGACATCAGGCGACTGCACAGATTTGGAAACTCCAAAGCAGAGACCTCTGGCTTATAACCCTGTCTAGTCTCCTCTTTCTAACCCTCCCCACTCCTTTCCCTCTAGAACAGATTTCTCAACTCGTAGGTCGCGACCCCTTTAGCAACCCTCCAAGTCCAAAAATATTTACATTACGATTCATAACATTAGCAAAATTACAGTCACGAAGTAGCAACGATAATAATTTTATGGTTGGGGGTCACAACATGAAGAACTGTATTAAAGGGTCACAGCATTAGGAAGGCTGAGAACCACTGCTCTAGAAGTACCCTGTTCCTCACGCCATGTTCTTCTAAAATTAAAAACACTTGTTAGTTTCGGACAGCAGGAAGTCAAGTAGGAAACCAGGATGGTTTGCTCTGAGCAGATAGCGAGCCCAGCCAAACATGCCCGGGCCCGCCCGGGAGGCCGAGCCCTGCGAGAGGAACACGGGAGCTTATTTTGGTCTTGTGGAACTGCCGGGGGCCGTGCGCCCGCGCTGGGCAGCTGCCAGCTGCTGGCGGCATCCAGAGGCATATCGGCAGCTATTTGCTGTAACAACTATTTTGAAACACTATTGAGAGGAGGAGGAAAAAAAGGCCACTAGACTTAAGTGAACGCTGGGGTTAGAAAGGACGCAGAGGTGGGAGCGAGACAGCAAGGAGCCAGGCCTTTCACGCCCGGGGAGCCTCTCAGGGAAGCGACACAGAAGGCGGAGGGGGGCGGGGGGGGGCGGGTAAGAGGCAGCACGTGAGGGTGTTCGAGACAAATCCTCAAGCCTAACTTTTAGGGATCCGGAGATTAGGGATCCCCAAGATCCTAAACGGGCTTGCGGAGGAAAAGAAGCCTCACGTCCCCGTGCCTAACAGGCCTCTCTGAACTCGGCTGGATTACGGCCCTTCTGCCAGTCCCCACCCGCCGAGGAAGGGGGGTAGATGCTAGCGAGGCTCAGGGATCTTTCCGGCCGGGCCCAGGCGACCCCCCGCTACCCACAGTGGGAGGGCGGGGTGCGGAGCGATCGAGGCGCGCCCCTCCCCCACCCGGCCTTCCGGGTCCCCACGAGCTTGCAGCAGCTCAGAGGACCCAGTGATTTTCCTTACACTTGCCTCTCTTTGAGGGTGGGGTGAGAGAGAATACTTTAAACGGGGATATAGTTAGATAGACATAAAGACTCTTAGATCGGAAAAATAAGATCTGGTAAGGAAAATGAGGAACTCGGATTCCAAACCTCGCAGAAAACCTACGGCTGGCCAGGGATGCGCGCGCCGAGCGTGAGCGGACAGGGTGCCCGCAGCGGTTTCTCCCGAGCCGGGACGCTCCTCCTCCTGCGTGCGAAGCGGGACACGGCTGCCCGCCGCCGGGCGGGACTGCAGCAGCGAAGCTCCCCTCCTGCCTGGCAGGACCTGTGCTCGCCGTCGGGGCGCCACCGCGCCGCCGATCCCGCACGGGCTGGCCTGCT